CACCCAGCTTCCAGGGCCGGAGGGGGAACGGCCGGAGCAGGAGAACATGGCTCTCTGTTCTCTGGAAGATCTACCCCCAAGGACCAGAAATTCTGGGATATGGGAGTCTCCAGAACTGGATAGGAATCCAGCTGAAGAGGTTTCAAGCACAGAGGCAGGAGGAGGTTACAAAGTAGTGAGAAAAGGTAAAATAAATGGGCATCTCCAGTAGGGCGAAAAGTACCCTTGCTAGGTGAGATAAGTCTTCGGAACAGCTGCTTCCTTCCCTGTATTCCCCCTGGGTGTTGTGTGAGCAGAGACCTACGCTGGGTCCTGGAAGAAGGAGACATGCTGATATCAGGCAGGGTTTGGAGTTGGACAGTGGCGATTCAGAGCTTAGCGCTGTCACTTAATACCTGCGTAGCTTTAGAGAAAATTGTGAATCATCGCTCAACTTCATTTTGTAACACGTAAGGACATTTCTTTCTGCCTGGCACAAACCACCTGCCAGAACCAGTCTCTGTTAGCGCTCCTCACTGAGCTCCTGATCCCGGGGAAAAGAGCCGCCCTTCCCAGGAGCCTCAGCCCTACAGACAGGGCGGGGGCACGCAGCCCCTCATGCCAAGCGACAGCACCTAGGGCAACAGAGGTGGCAGCTGGGACTGGAGGGCGTGGAGGACAAGGCTGGGAAGACACCTGGCGAGTGAGGGGTCTGGGAAGTGAACAAGGTGACAGGAAGGCAGCCCAGGTCGGGGAGCACCACGGGCGGCCTTGAGGCAAGAAAAGCCCAGACAAGCTCGCAGGGAGGCAGACAGGTTTGCCCGGCCCAAGTAGTGAGCCCAGGGAGGAAGGTCCCCACCCCAGGAAGAGTGGGCTAGTCTGAGAGGGTGGCAAGAAAGGCAGAACAAAGCCCACGCACGGGGTGGGGTTCCACGCTAGGGGGTCTTGAGGCAGGGGCTTCCTGCCCTCCCCTGGGGCTCCGCTCTGCCTCCCTCCCAGTAGCATTTTCGTTCCATCTGCCCGAGGCCTGCCTGTCTCCTGGGTTTCTGGGAACTGACCTTCCTTCTCTCTCTCGGTGAATTGGTGGAAAGTTCTCTGCGCTGCCTGGGATGTCATCGTGTATGATCTTGTGTTCACCTTGTTCTTCCCGTTTTCTCCTCCCCCTGCCCCCACCTCCTACCCTCTCTCCTTCCTGCTCGCTCTCCCTTCCCTTTCCTTGTCTTTCGGTCTCTCCTCTTCCTGGTGGTGGTGGTGTCGGTGCAGCTGAGGTGGCAGGCAGCAAGGTTGTCCCTGCACTACCAGAGAGTGGCCAGTCAGAGCCTGAGCCGCCTGAAGTGGAAAGCGGAACAAAGGCCACGGGTAATAACTTTCTCCTCGGAGCCAAGGACAGGCCAGGACTGGCGTGTGGGACCTGAGGGCAGAGCCGGACCCCTGCCCGCGGTCACACACACACCCACCAGCTCCCTCAGCTGCCTGGAAAGGGGAGGAGGAAGATGTGGACCTAAGGACGCGGACAGGCCCTGTGCTGTCCATCCAGCCTTAAGAAGCCACCTGTCCAGGCTCCTGTTCAGAGCAGCAGGGATAAACACCTGTGTGCAGTTGTGAGGGGCAGGGAAGCCTGGCCTGGTGCCGGGAGCCCAGTGTCCTTCACCTGATGCTCGAGCAGCTGCTTCCCCACCCCAGACGCCACTCCAGTGTCACTGTGGAAAACAGCTGAAAGGGCCTCCCAGGTTCCACAGTGGTTCTCTGAGCTTCCTGCCTGTCAGGAACCCTCCAAATCTTTCCTCCAGCTGTCTCTGATGCCCCTTGGTTGGGTCAAGGGACCTCCAGAGGCTCGTGGCATGGATGGCAGAGGAGGAGCAGGGCAGGGCTGCAGTTCATCTAGAGCTGGAGTCAGGCAGGGCAAGAGGGCTGCTGCCTGCTCCTTTCAGAAGAGCCTGAAACCAGCCCCTGATCTGTTTACTCAAGGAGGGGGAGCCACTCCCGTTTCCCCAAATGAAACACTGCAGCCTGACACTTCCCCCTTGAGTTCACTGCTCAGCATCTCCCCCAGGTTGGGGCTAGACTGAGCAAGGTACCATCTAGAAAAGGCTGGGGAGCAGGGCTTTTAGGGGGCTGGCAGACAGTGAGCAAGGCCCATGTGCTCCGAGTTCGCCTGGAGAGGGCTGCCTGGCCTGCGCTGTCGGGCGGCTGGGGAACCCCATGGGAGCGGGAGGGATAGCTCCAACTTCTCTGTTTGCCTCCTGATCACTTTTCTCTTCTTGTGGGGACAGGGAACTGCTTTTATGTCAGCATGCCAGCAGGACCCCTAGACTCAAGCACCGACCTTTCAGGGGCACCCACGAGCCCCCCTCAGCCTGACAGCCTCCCTGCAGGGCAGATGGAGCCTCAGCCTCAGCTGCAGGGAGGCAGTGGAGATCCAAGACGCCCCAGCTGCTCTCCCCCAAGCCTGGCCCTCAGGGACGTGGGAATGATCTTCCGTACCATTGAGCAGCTCACCCTCAAGCTCAACAGGCTCAAGGTGAGGGAAACAGGGCTTGTCCCTGCAAGATTTCAGTCCGTCACCCCAAAACCATTCCCTATGAGCCCTAGATCCTGTCCTGGCCCAGGGATCTTCCCCCAGCCCACCCAGCCACCCTTAAATCACACCTCCTTCCCCAAGGCCCAGCACAGATCAGAGTGTGACCCCTTCCCAGGGGCCTTCTAGGAATAGAAAGACTTGAGCACACATTCCCCCGCCGACTCTTCCAGGACATGGAGCTGGCCCACAGAGAGCTGCTCAAGTCCCTGGGGGGAGAGTCGTCTGGTGGCACCACGCCTGTGGGCAGTTTCCACACAGAAGCAGCTCGATGGACAGATGGCTCCCTCTCACCTCCCGCTAAGGAGCCCCTGGCTTCCGACTCCAGGAACAGCCATGAACTGGGGCCCTGCCCTGAGGATGGTGAGTGAAGCCAGATCCCTCTCGGCACCTACCGTGAGGGGGAAGTCCCCCAACTTGTAAGGACGCATTGCCAAGCAGTAAGAGATGGTGGTTCTGAGAGTCTGGTTTCCCCTTGAGTGAAACGAATTCATTCCCTCAGCTTCAGAGAGGGACCCCACAGACGCTTTCCCGCAAAATGGGGAGCTTCGAATTGAACCTTCTTATTCCTTGTGCTGTGGAGGTAACAAACCAGGAGGAGCCTGGTCTCACATCAAGACCTTTTTTCCTTTTTTAAATTATTTTCTCTCTCTTCTCTCTCTCTCTCTCTCTCTCTCTCTCTCTCTCTCTCTCTCTCTCTGTGTGTGTGTGTGTGTGTGTGTGTGTGTGTGTGTGTGTGTATTATATTGGAGATAAGGGCTCACTATGTTACACTGGTCTCAAACTCCTGGGCCCAAGTGATCAGGAGCCGCTGGGATTGCAGGTGCACACTGCAGTGCTGGCCTAACACTCGTGCTTATTAAATGGTTCAGAACCATACTGGGTGGGCCAGGCTGTGTTGTAACTCAGGAGGACTTGGCACATACCTACTTGAGCTAAGGGCTTTCGGGGCTGATGCAAATGCAGTTCAGCAGATAGCCCTTCTCAAGCCCAACAAGAAACTAGGATTTCTGGAGGAGAGGGAAGGTGCTGAAGGAGCTCCTCTCATGAGCCCGAACGCTTTCTAGACAAAACATGTGGAAGTGGCCTCAGGCTGGCCAGTGCCTCACCTTCATCCTACTCCCGCAGGCTCTGACACCCCCCTGGAAGAGAGCGCAGCAGACGCAGCCGCGTCACCAGGACCATAACTGTGCAAACCACCAAATCCTCTGCGTCCCCACTCCTCCTTCAGGGACTGGCCTGAGACCAGACCCAGGGTGGGGGGATCCTAACTCCTCACTGTGGAGGAGGCAGTTGGGGAAACTAGGATCCAGCCAAGGCCTCGGGGGAGACCCGCATGTTGCTTGGTCTGCTCAGATCAGAGTCAAGTTTCAGTGTCTTTTCCCTCCCTCAGCCCAACCCTCTAAGCCTGGTGTCTCCTAAGCATGCTGACTGCATCTGAAAGGCCCCCACTCACCATGGCTGCCCTCACCCCACACATGCGCGTACGCGTGCATGCCTGGACGTGCGCTGCCCTCAGACATGCAAGTGAGAGGAGGAGGCTTCTGTGTAAACGCACTTTCTTCCTCCCCTCTTTCTCCACAAGACCCCAGGCGGAGGTGGGTGCCTCCCCGCCCTGTCGTCACTTTGGTCCTATAAATATGTATGTATTGTATGTGCATCTTTGCTATTGTAAATAACATTGACCTTTTTTGTTCCTGTTCCTGGAGTGCTGGAGACAGTTATGGAAGGAGCTGCTAAGGGAAGAGGGGGTTCACTTGTATCTCCTAGTTAACCCAGCCCCAGGATCAAGCCTAAACGGGGAGCCAGGCCTGAGTGTCCCTGTCCCTGTGAGTGGGAAAGTCTGGCTCCCCGTCCCACCTGGCTCCCCAACACACCTGGCTTCTGTCCCACCTGGCTCCCCATCCCACCTGGCTCCCGTCCCACCTGGCTCCCCAACGCACCTGGCCCCCCGTCCCACCTGGCTCCAGAGCCTGCCCTCCACAGCTTGCTGCCTAGCTGCTCCCTCCCTCCCTGGACTCCTCATCTTGGCAAGATGGGACCATGGGAGTTTCTCGCCCCACCTGTGTCCCCTCTTCCCCACCCTGTCCCTGTAGAAAACCAGTGAAGCAGGTACGGAGCTGAAGACTGGGCCCCAGGAGGTGGGGAGAGGGGGTCTGAATACTAGGTCCCTGAATTCACCCAGGACCATCCAAGGGGCCGCCGCAGCGTCAGCCCCGTCACCACATCCTCACCAGCTCTCCCTGATGAATAGAATATACACACTGTGCTAGGTGTATATATACATATATATATATAAATATATATATATAATATATAAAATATAGATACGGAAATGACTGTTTTGCTGTTAAGATGATGTATACTCTTTTATTTTCTTCCTTTCATGGTTAAGATTTTTTTTTAAGAAAAGTTAAATATTCTTCAATGGTGGTGTGTGTGTTTCTTGGAATCGCTGTGATAAAAGATACAGTGTTTGTTCCCTGTAAGACTGGTTAGGATTGGATAGTGGGATCCAGAGGGAGCCCTCCCACCCCCAGACCCCGATCTTGCCTCTTCCCTCCCAGAGCTTCAGATGTGCACTCACTGAACTGAGGGCTGGGCAAACTGAAGTTATACAACCCCCATGGAGAAAACATGACAAAACACTGAGCTCAGTTACACACACTCACACACACACACACATATATACATAAAGGAGCTAGTGGACCCTGAGTCAAGGGGTCTCATGAGCTGCCCTCAATGAGCTTCAGTACTTTAAAAGCCAAAACTAAGCAGGAGGGTTCCCTCAGGCCCAGCCAGTTCCTCACTGTCATCCCCAGCCACATCCCACAGACACAGCCACATCACCAAGACTGTAGCCATACCACCCCTGTCTCCTGGCGTTCAGTGTTGGATTCCAGTGACAAATTCTCTTCCAGCCCTAAATATCCAATACCCTGACTCCTGTACCTCTCACAATCCTCAGCTGTGTCCTCGTTAGGTTACAGTCTAGTTGGGCATCAGAACTGATAGAGGAGTCATTACTGGTGAAGGGTGGAGATAAGGATATGGGCTGAAGGGGTCACCGAAGCTCTAGAGGACATGGCAGGGTTCCCAGCAGAAGCTAGAGTGACTGACCGTCATCCAGCACCTCAATGCGTTCAGTGTTGGGAATTCAAAGAAATGATGGGTTTTCCCTGGAGAAGCTCACTCCACAGCTACCTGCAGAGAGATAGCTGAGGCAGTGAGACCAGGAGTGCTCCAGGCGCTGAGGCAGTGAGACCAGGAATGCTCCAGGCACTGAGGCAGGAGACAGGCCCAGGTGCCACTGAGCCACCTAGTAAGATGGCAGGACAAGGGAACTCTAGGTAGGCAGAGGCAGTGGAATGAGGGAAGTGGGACTAGAGAATGTGGAACGGTGTTGTCTGCGCCTTCTCAAACATTCCTGTAGGTTACAGGGAGGCTCCCCAGAAGCCATCCTATGCTCTCTGGGCACTGGCAGGGGACCTCAGCGGAGGCAGCACTGAAGGGTAAAGGTTTGGGGCCCCTGACTGGGCTCAGGAACCTCACACCTCTGGTTTCAGATTGCTGACTTCTGCAGGCCGTGTTACTAGAGTTCATGTTCAATGCTTGGCCTTTGCTGTGTAGATGTTGGGAGTTCAGCACCCTCTCCAAAGTGGCCTGCCAAGCCTTTGTTCATTCTCTTCACCTGAGCCCTTTACTGCTCCTCCAAACCAGTCAAACACGTGGGCCAGCCAGGCAGGGAGGCAGAAGGGAGCGGGTGTGGAGCCCGTGTGCTCCGTCCCTCTGCTTTACCTGCTCCTGCTTCCACGCCTTCTCCCAAGCCTGTGTGTGTCAGTTACTAATCCCTATCCCAGATCTTTCTGAATGCAAACGCTGACCTAATCCATGTCCCCTAGGCAACACAGTGGGGGAATGGCTATTGCCAGAGCCAGAAAGAACTAGCCCCCAGGAGGCAGAAAGGCAATGTTCCTGGCTAGCTAAGGCCAGGGAGCTGAGATCATCCCCAGCAGAACTGTAATGCAGACCATCACTTTTTAGCCATTCCTGGCCATGTAACATGGACAGACACACAAAATCCAAATGTTCTAAGCAGTTCTGGAAGAAGTTTTCAGACAACATCAAGGAAAAGAATAGCAACAGGCTTTGTTATTGGTCTTGAGAACTCCCCCGGGGAGGTCAGTCCACACAGGGACAGGAGGTGCTTCTGTGGCTCAGAGGCAAGCAGGTGGGAGGGGCTAGGGGAAGAAAGCCATGGCCTCGTCCTCCCTGAGCTTGACCTTAATGGGGTCCCTTGGCAACATCAGTTCCTGGATCTTGGCATACGCAGGACATTGTGGAGCGAAGCAATTTTTCTGAAAAGAGGAAAAGGAAGGTTGACATCTGACAAGGAGAGTGAAGATTGGAGCTCTGGGAGAAAAAAAAAAAATGGTGGGTTAAGGGCTGGGAGACTTGCAGAAAAAGTGATTAATACTGTTGATCTTTCAGCAAGAGGAGTGGAGATTTTCTTCTGATTTTTTAAAAAGAAGCAGAGAAGCTATAGACCTTCCTTGAAAACGGGGAGAGAGACCCTCCTGCAGCAGCTCTCTAGTGTGACAGCTGATAGGGGCAAGCTCTCCTTTGGCAGGAGAGAGTGAAAGGGACTCACAGCCAGGGACAGCCACAGCAGCCCCACTGGACCCTTGGACACACTCTTGGCCTTGGAGAACTGCAGCTGGTGCTGCACCGTGGCGAGGAAGCCCTCCAGCCCCACCTCTGTGATGCGGTTCCCTGGTGGAAGATGCAGAGAGGTGATCTCTGAACGCCACAGGCCTCTCTGGCACCTGACACACCAGACACCCCCAGCAGCCCAGTTCCCACAGCTCCCCACTCCAGACTCACTGGCCGTGGCCCACCTTTCCCTGACCTGGCCCTTCACCCAGCTCTCCTGTAATTCCCTGACTGTCCCTCACTCTTTTTCCTCTTCTTCCCTCTCCCCTTCCCCATCTCTCTAACTCCCCTCATGACTCATCGCCTGTCCTCAGTCTCCTCCCAGACTCAGCACTTCCCCTGGCTCCCCAAGCCCTGTGCAAGAGAGCCTTGGGGGACATGTAGCCCAAAGATGGGAGGACCAGGTCTGCTCTGTGGAGTCAGGACAGGCACCCTCAGACAGGACAGCGCCTCAGGGCAGAAAGACAGGGGAGGTTGGCAGACATACGGAGAAGGTTGAGGTGCAAAAGGACCTTGTTCCCAGGCATGAAAACTTTCCCAGCTCGGTGCTCCACTGGCTCCAGGAGAGGGTTGATCACCTCAGTAGCCTCAACAACCAGCTGCTAAAGCAGAATACTAATTGCAGCAGACAGCAGAGGAGCTGGTCAACGGGCCATTCATTCATTCATTCAACATACATGTTTTGACTGCCGGCTATGCTCCAGGCTTTGTCCTAGGTGCTGGGGATACAAAAATAAATAATCCATACCCTCAAGAAGCTCCTTTGTATGGGGGAGCCAGAAAGTGAAAGAGTAATGTGATCTAGAGTGACCGCTGACAGAGGTAAGCTCAGGGCACTGTGGGAGCTGGAAAAGGGATACCTAGGCCAGGCCAGAAGGGGTCTCCTGGCTGAGGAGGGCGGTGAGCTGAAATGTGGATGCACAAGATATTGTCAGATGAGGATGGGAAAGGTGTTCTAGGCAAAGAAAGCAGGTGCTTTCTTTTTGTTCTGGAGGTGTGAAACAGTATGTGGCATTCAGATGTTACTAAGTGTTTCCCAACACTTAAAGCAATAAGGAGAATGGATAGGAGGGAAGTGACAATGACAGCAGGATGAAAAGAAATTGCAATAGTCCTAGTGACAATCAGCAGCCTGATCGAGACAGAGGCAGAGACGAAAAATGGGAATTGAAAGGCAACCCCACCCCCTTCCGCACTCTGAAGGGCCTTTTTTATAAGATTTTGTCTTGGGTGCCAGCGAAGACTCCTGAAAGCCAGAGGGCCCCTTCCCTGCCTAGGATTTGCAGGGGGTCTTCCGATGGAAGAGAAAAATACAGAGAGGCAGACCCTCAGGCAGCTGACAGAACCGAGGGCTGGGGGGCGGCAGGAGCACTGGAGGCAGCCCAGGAAGATTTCCAATGCAAGGAGCAAGGTGGTCCAAGTTGAAAGGGGGCAGAGAAGATCCAGAGGCAAAAGCGGTCTGAAGAAGGACCCATGCACAGGGTAGCATAGGGCGGTGCCATGACTATAAAAATGCCCCACCTTCCCCAGAGACCTACTGAGAGGGGCAAAAAAGAGGATGCTTTGTTCCCATGCAACTGTCCAAGCGAGTATGGAGGTGGCGATGATGAACTGTGGGCCTCTAGGGGAGCAGCCTGGCTGAGCTGAGACAGAGGATCCGAAGTGTGGGCTATTAACAGGCAAGGAAAAGCAGAAGGGGCTGGTTCCCGTGATTCCCACAGAAGCCCAGGGTGAGATGGGAGCGGGTTTCAAGTGAGGTTGGGACAGGAGTGGAGGACAAATTGGAAAGTAAGTGGCTGCTGCCACAGCATGGGGCTGAAGACCACGTTCCAGGAGGGGCTGGGATGAGAGGTCCAGGCAAGCCTGGGACCCCAGGGGTGTGCCCTTTGCCTCCATTCCTCCCTGCAGCTTACCTCCGACTCTGGGAGGAGGCTGCGCTTCTCTCTGCTCCCGATCTTGATCCCTTTTATCTTGCTTGGCTTCTGCTCAGGGATGGTTACCTCTGGGGCCAGAAGAGGAGCCGGAATGCACAGTGCACATTTCTGATACCACCCACACTCCCTCCCCAGACAGAACAGGCTAGGTGGGGCAAAGACACCCCCCAACCATGGGTTTGGGTGCAGTAGAAATGGCTGGAGGGGGCCGGGCGTGGTAGCTCACACATGTAATACCAGCAATTTGGGAGGCCAAAGTGGGAGGATCACCTGAGGTCAGGAGTTCTCAGCCAGCCTGACCAACATGGTAAAACCCCTTCTCTACTAAAAATACAAAAGTTAGCAGGGCATGGTGGTGCATGCCTGTAATTCCAGCTACTGGGTAGGCTGGGACAAGAGAATTGCTTGAACCCAGGAGGTGGAGATTGCAGTGAGCCAAGATCACACCTCTGCACTCCAGCCTGGGTGACAGAGTGAGACTCCATCTCAAAAAAAGAAAAAAAGAAAAAAGAAAGACAAGAGAAGAAAAAGAAAAAAGAAATGGCTGGAGGGGGACCCCAGTTAGGTGATTGGGTTCTTTGAAGACAGAGCCACAGAGCACCAGCTCCGACAGAGGGGATGTAGAGAGCAGTGGCTCAGGACATCATTCCACTGTGAGAAGGAAATCAGGCCCAGAGAGACCTGGTGAGGTGAGCTCCAGGCAGGCGCGCCCAGGCCCAGAACAGCCTCCTGCACCCTGCCCAGCATTCTTTCCTCCTCCGCTGGGAAAGTGCTGCCCAGGGGCGCCTGCACTTACTCCCCTTGCCTGCTTTTGTGGCGTCATCTTTCTTAGGGGTTCCTTGTGTGGGCGACTGCCCAGCCCCTGACTTCTCCTCTTTCTTGGTCAATTCCTGTGGAGAATGTGAGAAGAGAAGTCAAGTCCCTCCTCCGGAGGGGATGGGCAGTGGTGAGGGAAGGAGCAGGTTAGGACCGGAGGCCTTAGGGGGAATTCAAAGGCCCATGTGGCCTTCTTCCCTCCACCGCCTCTGCACGTGATGGAAGCCCCCTCCGCTGTCCATCCAGCACCCAGGCTCTGTCCCATTGCACACCTACCCATGATTTCTCCTTTTTCTTGCCCAGGCCCTTAGGGGTTTTCATTGCCTGCGTCTTGTCTGTCTTGTCCACCAGTGCGCTGTTGCTGATCCCTACCATCTGACTCTTCTCACGGTCTGTTTTGGAGTCTCCGTGTCTCGAGGAGGAGGGCTGTGCTCACAAATGGGAAGGGAGGGAGGAAGAAGCCAGAGCCCCTTCCTCAATGGGAGCATGAAAGGTAGCTGTACCCGTACTTGGGGAGCAGTGGAGCTGACAGCACCCTCCCACCCACCTTCCTGCCTAAATGCTAAAATAATTTGTAATGGACTCCTCTGGGGTTAGATGCTTTGGGGAAGAAATAGAAATAGCAGAGGGACCTGGGTGGGGGTGAGATGAAGGGTGAGGCAGGATCTCAGACTCTCATACTGAGGGTGGGAGGGAAATAGCAGCTAACTTTTATTGAGCTAAGTGCCAGGTGCTATTTTAAATGGATTGCTGGAATTAAGTCATTAAATCCTCTCAATAGTCATGAAATAGGTACAGTTATCCCCACTTACAGATGAAAAAACTGAAGCAAGGAGAAGTTAAGTAACAGGCGGGGCACAGTGGCTTATGCCTGTAATCCCAACACTTTGGGAGGCCAAGAGGGGCCGGATCACTTGAGACCAGGAGTTCGAGATCAGCCTGGTCAACACAGCAAAACCCCATCTCTATTAAAAAATCCAAAAATTAGCCAGGCCTGGTGGCACACACCTGTAATCCCAGCTACTCAGGTGGTTGAGGCAGGTGAATAGCTTGAACCCTGGAGGCAGAGGTTGCAGTAAGCCAAGATTGCACCACTGCACTCCAGCCTGGGCAACAGAGCCAGACTCCATCTCAGAAGAAAAAAAAAAAGAAGTTAAGAAGTTTAGTTATCCCAAATATCCTGCACATAATGAAATAAAGCAAAATATTCTACCATTAAAAAAAAAAAAAAGAAGAAGAAGAAGAAGTTAAGAAGTTTAGTAACATGCCCAAGGTCACAAGCTAGGATATGGATGAGCTGGACTTCAGGTCCAGATGGTCTTAATCTAGTGTCGTCTCTTAACCAATACACTCCACCGCCCATAGGGTGGTTCTGCAATTAGAGCCCGCCCAGCAGGGGCTTGGCAAACGTTTGCGCAGCAGTCGGAGGGAAACACAGTCGAGACAGAGGATGGAGATTTAACCGGATGGCCAGTTTGCTGAAAAGCAAAACTTGGGAAGTGGGTTCGAGGGTTAGAGGGCCTCTCCGCTGGTCCTTGGGGCCTGGGGGTTCCTCACCGATCGCGAGCGCTCCTGCGTCCCTTTCTCCAGCAGGAGGCGCCGGCGCTCCACCACCTCGGTGTGCGTCAGCTCGAAGGGTCGCAGGACCTGCGGAAGGCGGGCGCCCCGAGGTCGGACGCCAGGGGATTCAGGGTCGGCTCCCCGCGGCCAGTCCTCGTCCCGGACCCACCTGGTCGGCACACCCACCTCCGCCAGCTTCAGGGCGCCCTTGTCCTGGATGCGGTTGTGGGCCAGGGACAGCCAGAGCAAGGAACGGTTCAGCCGGAGGCCCTAAAGGGGTGGTCAGGGAGGCGTGAGCCGCCCGAGCCGCCCCTGCTCCCAGCGGGTCTCTCCCCGCTGCGCACTCACGTCCGCGATGTAGCCCGCGCCCTCGTCCCCGATGTGGTTGAAGCCCAGGTTGAGCGAGACCAGGGTCCGGTTGCTGCTGTGCAGCGTGGACAGCGCCTGGCCCAGGAGTTGCGCCCCGCGGTCATCGATGTTGTTGTTGCGCAGAGACAAGTGCGCGATCCTGGGCAGCCGGAGGGGGAATATGGGTCGCTGGAAACTCGGTGCAGGGCGTCCGCTGGAATTTGGGAGACTTGACGGCTTGAGGAGCCGTCTGGTCTGAGGATGTAGGGGCAAGAATCAAGGGCCCTTGCCGAGACGGTAGGGGGACAAGGAAGGCTGGGGACTAAAAATGGCTTGGGATTTCAAGACAGGCCCAGAGGAAGGGGGTGAGGGCAGGGAGTCTCACGTGCTGTCCAAGGCCATGAGCTTGTGATAGGACTGCTCTGGCAGTGGGTTCCCCTCCAGAGACACCTTCCTGAGGGAAGGGGAGATCTGAGAACCAGAAGGTACCACTGAGGCCAGGTAAGGGAGGGGAACAGAGAGGAAGTGCGGGTCTCTGGGAAGCAGCTGGGAAACAGAGTCGAAGGATTGCCCCCCAATATAGAAAATATATGTGACAATTCCCCAGACTAAAAATTCAGAGGTGTGGCCATCTGAAGGGGCTGCTCCACAAAGCTGGCGACCCGTGGTAGGGTGGTCTCTAAGATGGCCTTCGGTGGTCCCCGCCCCTGGAACTCACACCTCTGTGCCATCCTTTCCCCTTGAGTGTGGACTTCACATTATAAGTGACTCACTTCTGGCCGGGCACGGTGGCTCACACCTGTTATCCCAGCACTTTGGGAGGCTGAGGAGGTTGGATTGCATGAGCTCAGGAGTTAGAGACCAGCCTGGGCAACAGGGTGAAACCCCATCTCTGCTAAAAATAAAAATAATAAAATAAAGCAGGATGTAGTGGTGCCTGCCTGTAATCCCAGCTACTTGGGAGTCTGAGGCAGAGAAATCACTTTAACCCAGGAGGCAGAGGTTGCAGTGAGCCGAGATTGTGCCACTGCACTCCAGCCTGGGCAACAAAGCAAGACTCATCTCCAAAAATAAATAAATAAAAAAGAAGTGACTCACTTCTAATGAACAGAACATAGCAGAAGAGATGGGACAGCACTTCCAGGTTTAGGCTACAAAGGCCGTGGCTTCCGTCTTGAGTGCTCCCTGGCACTCTCTCAGATGGCCAGCTGCCATGTGGTAAGGACACTCAGCCAGCCTGTGGAGAGGCCCAGGCAGCCACACAAGCGAGTCTGGAGGTAGATTATCCACCGCAGTTGGTCCTTGAGGTTAACTGCAGTCGCAGTCAGCAGCTGTACGCAACCTCAAACCCTGGGCCAGCTCCATCAGCCAGCCCACCCCCAGGTCATCTCACAGCAGCTATGAGATCACACATGTGTGTTCTTTTAAGCCACTGAATCTCGGGGTTAATTTGTCACACAGCAGTAGATAACTAAGACATAACCCTCTACATGGCAGTGGCTTCTCTAACAGTGCTGTGAGAAAGGCGGTCCTGTTCTAAGTCACAGCAAAAACTGAATGAATGGCCAGAAATTTCTCTATGTAAAAATTTGCTCTCGCAATTTCTTATTTTGTTCAACTTTTCAGGCTGCCTCATCTGTGACATAAACTCAGTTACATTCAGTTTAATTTTTTTATGTTGCGAGGACTTACTTTTACACATTATTTACAGATGAATTCATATAGTTGTTTTCTGCTAGTTAATTACCATGATGGAAGGAAATATGTTTCATGGTGTTCTGCACAGAGTGCTGGGGACCCCCAGCTGAAGAAGACACAGTCCCTGCTCTCAAGGAGCGTCCATGCCATCCGCTGGAGGAAGACAGGCAAGCCACTGCAGGAACAGTGCCCCCGTGAAGCAAGAGAGGGCAAGCTGCTGTGGGAGCGTGGAGAAGCGGCGGGGCCAAATCAGCCTCTCCACTAACACTCCCAACCACAACTGTAGTCACACTGCCTCATGCCTTGCTCCTGCTCCTTCCCATGTAAGAATGCCCTTTCCTAATTCCCTTTCTGGCCTGCTCCCAGGCCTTCTTCAGCTCAGTACCACCTCCTCCAGGCAGTCTTCCAGGTCTTCCTGCCCCATAAAGTGGGGTGGCGCTTCTCTCTGACCAGCTCCCTCCCCTGATGAACCAGTCCTCCATCACCAGTCTCCACACTGCCCTGCAGTACTTATTCTTGTGTCCTTTTCTCTCACTCACTGGACTGCGAGTTTCTGGAGGATAAGAACTCTGTCTTACCAGCCTCTGATACAGGACCAGGGCTCCAGGCAGCCATGAAGGAGAGAGAGAACCTCTGGGGAGGGAGTGGAGGGTAATGGGACTGATGCAGAGGAGAGGACGAGCCCTGGAAGCTCAGGCTCTTTGGATACTGGTGTGGGCAGAGAAGCAGACCTGGCTTCTTGTCTGATGGGGGTATCATGATCCAACAGACATTGCCGGCTTCTGATTCACAGGGATGCTAGCCAGGCCCACAGGAGTCAGCCACTTCCATGCCCACACTGCTCCTCTCTGACCACCCGCACATCCAGGCCATCCAGGCACTGGGGGCCTCCCGGTCTGCTGACCTGAGTGTGGATGAGCAGAGATGCAGGAGGTCGATGAAGGTGGTCAGGGTCTTATCTGTCAACCCCACCTTCCACAAGCTGGCATGGGCGGGAAGTGCAGAAACACAGAGCTGGAGGTCCCCTCCTACTGGAAAACGCTTCCCACACCATCCTTCCAGCGACCCCCTTCCGCATCCCCCACCCCCACCTCCCACAGTCTTCAGGGTCTCCCGTGCCCCTTGGTTCTCTCTCCCAAGCCACCAGGAGCCCCACCTCTCATGCGGGCCTCCCGCCCATCCCCCCAATGTCCCTCACTTGATGGCCTGTAGCTGGGTGAGTGGGGGCAGGCATTTAGAGAAAATACCCAGAATCCGTTCCTCAACTTTCCAACCTGCGGGCCAAGAGGAGGCAGGTGCCTCAGGCCTGGGAGGCGCTGGGGAGCGGGAGGGAGCGGGGACGGGCAGGGGACTCGGGCTCACCGCGGATGTAGATTTCCTTCACCGACTTGCTGTCCTCCTGCTCCAGCTCCACCTGGATGGTGGGCCGGAAGAACACGTATTTGCTCTCCAGACTGTTAAGGCTGCAGGACCCCGACAGCCGTGGGTCTTCTGGAAGAGGTGAGGAGCGAGGGGAGCAGCCGCCTCCCTGCGCCCCACGCATTGCCGGCCCCCGGGTGCCCAGGTGGGATTGGGGGGCACTGCAGGCGTGGGAGGCACCGGCCTGCGGGAGCTGCCTCTCCAGCCACGCGCGCCTCTGCTGGGATTTGGAAAGAAAGACAGGGAGACACCTCCCCCCTCCTCACCGGCCTGGTCGAGTCCCCCCATTCAAACACACACCGTCCCACGTCCCACCATTCTACTGGCTTGGGAAGAGAGGATGAGGATGGTCGAGGCGGCCCAGGTAGGCCCCGGGGAGCTCCACTGTCACTCACCTGGGGTGACCTTTTCTGACAAAGAGGCGGAGGGGACAAAGGGCGGGTGAGGGCGGGGCCGGTTGACAACTTTGGGGAAGTCCGTGTAGCCCGACCTCGTGCAGAGCTCGGCGAAGTCGATCTCGAGGACCCCTGAGCACTGGTACTCCTCTGTGGGGGCAGGCAGGGGCGTGAGAGAAGGGGCCGCGCCCACCCCTGGCTCTGGCGCCCCTCCTCAGACCGGCATCTTTACAGCCATTGAACTTGCAAATGCCTGGAAAAACGGGGAACTAGCAACTTGCAAATGCTTGGAAGAAAGGGGACTAGCGGCGTGCATGGTAGACAATGGTGTCGCCTCTTCAGGTCAAAGCCACTGCCACCCCTGCTCCCCACTCCCAGCCTGGCCTCCGCCTCTCCTGGTGTCCCTAAGTGTTCCTTCCCTGCTGGAACTGCTCAGGGTCCCTGGGAGGGAGACGCGAAGGCCCGACGTGAGCTCCTTTCTATTCCCACCCCTTCCCTACACATACGACCAAGTGCATCAGAACCACGCTATTATTTAACACTTCCTCTGTCCAGTGTGTTTATATGGCACTTCCTCGCATCCATAAAATGCTTTAGAAATACTAACTCATATGTGAGTTATATTAATTTACACTTGCCCACCCCCTCTCATCCTGAGGGCGGTGCTATGTGAGCTTGAGACTCTGAGTCTTCAAGAGATCCTTGCTCTTTCTGGCTCCGAAGAGAGCTTCGAGGGTTCATGGGGAAAGTTGTGAGAGGCACGTTCCTCTTGTGTCTGGCCATCAGCGGGACCCCAGGTGCACAGCGAAATGGACGAAGCAGGTGGGAGAAGGCATAGTGAAGTTGCAGTGCCCCCTGGGCTGGCTGGCTCCTGCACACCTCCCAGCCCTCCCAAACTTCCCTCTGCTGGGAGAGCCCCTCACGCCTCCTTGCTTCACTCATACCTCCCTTCTCAAGAACAGAGATTTTCAAACTTTAACATCTTAAGAATCACCTGGAGAGCCTGTTAAAACCACTTCCTGGGCCCTATCCCCGGAGATTCTGATTCTGTAGCCCAGGTGAGGCCCATGATTTTGCATTTTTAGCAACTTCCCAGAAGATGCTGAAGCACCTGGTCCGACAGCGCCTATAGGGAAGCCCTGCTCTCAAACCGTGAGAACGGCGCCGCCTGCGCGGTGGAAACGGGCTCTCTGCACCTGAGCACCTGTCAGACAGCACAGCTCTCCTCTGCTCCAACACCCCTTCTTCATGCTCACTAATGGTCTCAGCTCATAGCTTCTTGAGCAATAGAAGCCATTAGATAGGACTGCTTCTAAATCCCCACACATTTCTATATGGGCCATCAGCGAGCCCACATCTGCCCCTGCCGCAGCACACCGCGGTGTCTGCTAAGGCCACCGTGACCTCCATGTTGCCTCTCCAGGTCCTGTGCAGGCGTCACTCCCATTCTCTCCTCCCTCTCTGCTGGCTGCTCAGACTCCCCTGCCAGCTCCTCCTCTTCTACAACCTGTCAGGCTGGGTCCTGAGCCCTCTGCTCTTCTCTGTTTATAGAAGGGGTCTCTCTCATTGCCAGGACTTAACTATGCCAGATCATCAGCAGCTCCCAAAGCCGCAACTCCACCGCTGACCTCTCCTAGGCACTGCTGACCCATGTGTCCAGCTGTCCAGCTGGCATCACCCCTTGGAGCTCTTCCCTTACATGCACCTCCTTCGGGCTTTCCCATCCCATAAGTGGCACCTCCTCCCAAACCGTGCCCAGTCCAGAAGCCTGAGAATCATTCTTGCTCTGTCCCTCACTCCCCACCCTGTCCATTCCTTCACCAACTCTTATTACTTGTACCTTCAAAGTGTTTCTCTGAGGAGCCTAACCCAAGCACCCCTCACGAAGCTCACTGTCCTATCCCAACTCCCACTGTCCCCAGACTAAGCTGTTGAAATCGCCTCCTTCCACCCCATTTTCTATACAGCAGCCATGTTGCGTGTGTGTGTGTGTGTGTGTGTGTGTTTAATGTAACTGGCTTCATACCTGTAGGGGATTCTATACTGTCTGGTCTTCCCTTCCAGAAGATGCTCTTTCCCCAGCTCTTGTAATTACTTCCCCACCCACCAGCACTGACGAGGAGATAGCACCTGGCGAACAGAGGCTTTTCCCAAGTTTTTTGCTTCGATTCCAGAGACAGCAAGTTCTTGTCCGGTAACGTTGAAGCTGGCAGACTTGTATCAAGAAGTCTTCTGATACATTTCCCCTCCCTGCTTAGTTTGGTTGGGGTTCTATCACTTGCAACAAAAAGGGCCACACCTCTACTTACACCATTCTATTAGTTTTCTTTTCCCAGAGGGTGTAAACCCCATGGGAGCAGGGCTGTGTCCCTCTCGTTCTCTTCTGTGACATGCCTGGCCTCGTGGCTGGCATTTGGAAAGTAATTGTTGAATCAATGAATGAACATCTATAAACTCTGCCCAAATGCACCTCCTGGCATCCCCCACCCCGTGCCCTCACCCCTAGGCCTTCCTCTCTTGTCTATCTTATCACATCTTATTGGTATTTGTCAGCATGCCAAACCAAAGCGTGGGTTCTTTAAGATCAAGTTCCATTCAAACATCTATCAAGCCGAGATTCAGAAACTCAACCTGGGTATATGTGAGTTCAGCCATAGCCATCGAGCAGCGAGTATCGAGTGGGAACCTGGAAAGAGGCAGCCTGGAGGCCCGATACCCCAACCCCCGCACCAGCGTACCAGGGTTTTTGGGCTCCTCCTCGCCCACGGGAGGCAGAACGGTCGCCGGCTTCTCTTTGGCCGCGCGCTCTCCCTTTTTGGTCACCACGCCAGACGACTTCTGGGTCCCCGGACGCGGGGCCCTGGGCGAGGCCCCCGGGGCGCTCTGCTCGCTCGACATGCTGGTGTTGTCCGCAGCGTCTCTGGCACCCTCGTCGGGGCGGGAAGGTAGAACTGCACTCTATGCGGCTCACTCTGGGGGTGGCTGAATCAGGGGGTCTCTGTTCCGCGTCCAGGAACCGGATCCGACCCGACCGCAGTGGCGTCGCCTACGCGTCCCTCTCCAAGACAACCGCGCGAGGCGGGCGGGCCCGCGGGCAAGGGGCAACCGCAGAGAGCACGCGGGGCAGACAGGGGGCGCCGCAGGGCAGAGCAAGGCGAGAGGAGCGCCCGGGGGGCGGAGCGAGAGCGGGAGGGGCGGAGCGAGAGCCGGGGGGGCGGAGCGAGAGCGGGAGGGGCGGAGCGAGAGCGGGAGGGGCGGGCCCGGCCGGCGGAACCGGCAGGGCGGGGGCGGCCGGAGATCGCGGGAGCTGTTGGGCCCAGGAGGGCCAGGGCCGGCCGAGCCTGTGCTAAAGGAGAAGGGCTAGAGTGACCCAGGACATGCGCGGAGCCATGGCAGAGGGAAACGAGTGGATCCCAGACAGGACCGAAGCGGGCACGGGGATAGGGCGAGGGCGGGTGATCCGAAGTCACCCTGGACTTGAGCCGGGGGGAGCGGGCGGACCGCGCGGGGTAGGGATCTCAGCTGTGGGCAGTCGGAGGACACCAGGGAGAATCCAGGTGTGGGCAGGTCCACTCTCCAGCGTCCACCCACCTGTCCAGTAAGGAGAGGGCACCTGGTGGAAGGAGCCTAGAGAAACCCATCTGGTTGGTGTGGTGCTAGTTTCTATTCTCGACCCCCACCTGTTTAGTCTGGGGGGGGGGGAATCTCTGGGAACTCAGTTAATCGGCTAACGAGTTAATAAGGTGAGTCACACTCCTTACAAATCTGGGATTCAAAGTCATCACCTGACTCCTGCTCTAGACCCGTGATGATTCTGCCCTGCTGGATCCCATTTGAATAAAGGCATGCCCCCAAAATACTAAGGGTTGGGCTCCAGACCACCGGAATAAAGCTAATATGGCAATAAAGTGAGTCACGCCACTTTTTTTTTCTCAGTGCATATAAAATTATATTTATACTGTAGTCTGTTAACTGTGCAATAGCATTATGCCTCAAAAATATATATATATCTCTTTTTTTTTTTTTTTTTTTTTTTTGAGATGGAGTCTCACTCTGTCGCCCAGGCTGGAGTGCAGTGGCGTGATCTCAGCTCACTGCAACCTCTGCTTCCCAGGTTCAAGCAATTCTCCTGCCTCAGCCTCATTAGTAGCTGGAATTACAGGCACGCACCACCACATTCAGCTAAGTTTTGTATTTTTAGTAGAGGTGGGGTTTCACCATGTTGGCCAGGCTGGTCTTGAACTCCTGACCTCAAGTGATCCTCGCACCTCGGGTTCCCAAAGTGCTGTGGTTACAGACATGAGCCACAGCACCCAGTCCAATGCACATTCCTTAATTTATTTATTTATTTTTATTTTATTTTATTTTATTTTGAGATGGAGTTTCGCTCGTTACCCGGGCTGGAGTGCAATGGCACGATCTCGGCTCATCGCAACCTCCGCCTCCTGGGCTCAGGCAATTCTCCTGCCTCAGCCTCCTGAGTAGCTGGGATTACAGGCACGCGCCACCATGCCCAGCTAATTTTTTTTTTTTTTTTTTTTTTTTTTTTTTTTTTTTTTTTTTTTTAGTAGAGACGGGGTTTCACTATGTTGACCAGGATGGTCTCGATCTCTTGACCTCGTGATCCACCCACCTCGACCTCCCAAAGTGCTGGGATTACAGGCTTGAGCCACCGCGCCCGGCCGCACATTCCTTAATTTAAAACTACTCATTGCTGGCTGGGCGCTGTGGCTCACGCCTATAATCCCAGCACTTTGGGAGGCTGAGGCAGGTGGATCACGATGTCAAGAGATCGAGACCATCCTGGTCAACATGGTGAAACCCCGTCTCTACTAAAAAATACAAAAATTAGCTGGGCATGGTGGTGCACGCCTGTAGTCCCAGCTACTAGGGAGGCTGAGGCAGGAGAATTGCTTGAGCCCAGGAGACCGAGGTTGCGGTGAGCCGAGATCGCGCCATTGCACTCCAGCCTGGGTAACAAGAGCGAAACTCCATCTCAAAATAATAATAATAATAATAATAAGACTTGAAAATCAAAATTACTCCTTAATCCACAGGCTGAAGAATGGGTACTGTATTAGCAAGCACGCAATCAACATTAATCTCCTTGTACATCTCCAGGTGTGACTATTCCTTTCACTTCAACACCTAGAGACCCTTGTAGGGTTATTAATTAACTCTCATTTCAATATTGTTGTGTCTCAGGGAATAGGGAGGTCCTCAGAGAGGGAGAGAGTCGGGGGGACGGCTGGTCGGTGGAGCAGTCAGAACGCATGCAACGTTTATTGGTTAAGCTTGCCATGTTACATGGGTGCGGTTCATGGCGCCCCAGAACAATTACAATAATATCAAAGATCACGGATCACAGATCACTATAACACATATAATAATGATGACAATGTTTGAAATACTTGCAAGAATTACCAAAATGTGATGCGGAGACCCAAAGTGAGCACATGCTTTTGGGAAAATGGTACCAACAGACTTGCTTAAAGCAGTGTTGACACAGATCTTCAATTTCTTTGCTTGGCTTTTCTTAACCTATTGCTGTCACCTATATTTCCCCAAACCTTCCATTTCTTTAAAAATTCCACTACCTGTGAAGTGCAATAAATGGAGGCGTGCCTGTATATTCTCTCCTAATATCCTGTCTCCAGCCTCCGCAGCCCCCTCGGCCCCACCCACCCTGCACTGCTGCCCCTGGTACCTTCCCACGTCTGAGCTCTGTGTTGTCACCCCATGGAAATGCCACCCTTTAGGGAAGTCCCCAACTTATTCAGTCTATAGCGGTCGGAGCACACAGGTGGCTCAGCACAGAGTTAATTGGGTTGGGTCCATCTCCCTCCTACATAGTTAGTGCCCTAGGACGACCTGTGCTCGGCACCCTTCCAAAATCACAGAAACACACACACACGGAGCCCCGCCCGAGCGTGCACAGAAAAGGTTCCCCCACACATGTTTGAAATCAGTCTGGAATCAGAGTTACCTAGCAACTTTCTACCCACCAGTTTATGTACACAGGGCCCTGGAGGCCTTGGGAGCAGTGGGGTGGGAAAGGGAGCCAGGCCTCCTGCTGACCAGGGTCTCCCACGGTAGAACCCGGGAACGAGGCTCCCGTCTCTCCATTCACTTGCTCCGTTAAGCGTTGTTCGTGTTCATGGCCTGCCGGTCCACTCCCTGCTCCTGGCAGGGTACACCAGGCTCTGTCCCCAGCCTTCGGCAGCAACAGCCAGGTGTGGTGGCCTCTGCCACACCATCCTGGCTCCTCACCGGTCCTGGCGTCGAAGTGGGGGTGATGGGGGATGCCGTACTGGAGGCAGGTCATAATGTCCGGGGATGTGGCTGTTCTTGGGTGAGTCATAGTGGCCGGGGGGTAGGCCCGGAGGCAGAGGGGGCTGGGGGCCCACAGAGTCTCGGTCTGGAAAGTACAGCACAGGATGAGAGCGAGGCTCCTCCCACTCCCCTCCCACTCCCACCACTCTCCTCCCCTCTTCAGCCTCTTGAAGGCAAAGAGAAGCAGATGGGTCTCTGGATACATAGCCCAGCTTACCATCAGCTAGTTGTGCGGCTCTGAGCAAGAGGCCCTTAGCACCTCAGCCCGCCACCTCCCAGGATCCCAGGAGACTTCATCCCCTGCCTGGCTCCCTCCTTTTCTGGGTACCAACTCCACCATCCCCCCGCCGATGCTGTACAACCACCACTTCAATCCTGAGCCCTGCGAGGCACATACACACGCTCTTCTCCAGATGAGGACACAGGCTGTGAGAGGCCACCTCACTTCCCCACTGTGCCCAATTTGAGCCCGAGGCTGACCCCGAAGGCCTCACTCTTGACGCCACATTGCGTCTTCTCCTTCTCCTCTCCCTGTTCCTTCTCTTTTTCTGCCTCCCTTGTCCCGTTTCTCTGCTGCTCCTGCCAGTGGAGAGGGAGGGCTCACCATGGATCAGGGGGCTGGGCTGCTCGTAGGTGCCACTGTCTCTCCGTGGCAGGGGCTGCCGATGCCTCTGGCTGTCCCGGAGCTGGAGCTGTCGAGGCTGCCTGGGGGGAGATCCTGAGGGGGGACCTTTCATTTCCATGTAGCTGCTCTCCCGGGGACCCCCTGGCAGGCTGGGCAGGTCCCGGATGGTGGCATAGGGGTTCTCACTGCTCAGGGAAGCCACGCTGGCCCCGAGCCCCTCTTCGGAGATGAGCCCTAAGGATAGAGGAAAGAAGCCAGGCTCCATGGAGGCGCTGGTTCCTTAGCCCCCACTCAGTCGCCTCCCTTGTTGCCCCTGTGCCCATACCTTTATTATAGAATGGGCCTGGGCCATTGCTGTAGCTGTAGCTTCGGTCCAGGAGGCTGCTTCCTGAGGAGGAGACAACTGGCAATCAGCCCTCTGTCGCCTCCCCAGGCTTACACCCGCTCTAGAACTGGGGCCCAGAGCCCCATCTCCAGACACACTCACTCAGACGTGCCAGGCTGCACACATCCACCCTCACCAGAGACCCAGGCCCCCTGCACCTACCCCTGTCCAGAGACCCTGGACCCCGGCACCTACCCCCGTCCAGAGGCCCAGGCACCTACCCCTGTCCAGAGGCCCAGGCCTCCCTGCACCTACCTCTGTCCAGAGACCCAAGCCCCCTGCACCTCCCCCTGTCCAGAGACCCGGGCCCCCGGCACCTACCCCTGTCCAGAGGCCCAGGCCCCCCACACCTACCCCTGTCCAGAGGCCCAGGCCCCCCACACCTACCCCTGTCCAGAGACCCGGGCCCCCGGCACCTACCTCTGTCCAGAGGCCCTGGAGGGTGCTCCCGGCGGTGCTTCCAGTCAGCAGGCAGGGTGGCGTGGTTATCATGCCCGTGGGCCCCACCTGGCCGCTCAGGGGCCTGCAGGCTGGCAAAGAGCTGGCTGGGAACCTGAGAGGGGACAGTGCAGTAGGGAGAGCAGGAGCAAGGACAGGCCTTTCCGGAGAGTCGGGTCTGCGCGCTTCCCTCCACAGTGCACTACTCCCCCAGCACTGACCTTGTTAGGGGGCGGGGGGTTCGGGGAGCACTGCGACAGGGTGTGGTAGCTGGGGTTGGAGTAGTAGTGACTGTAGCTCGGAGGGACATCTGCATGACAGACACAAGTGCAGGGTGAGCTCAGTGATGGGCAGCAGTCCAGGAGAGCTGTTCTGTCCCCGAGGATCAGGACTTTGGCCTTGCTGACCTCCCTTCTTCCCTCCTCCCCACTCCTCAGTTTCCCTTTGGGTCGTGCCCAGCACCCACTCTTGTGTCTATGAGCCAGCCACTCCTCTGTGCTCCAGGCCCCGTGCCAGCTCACCTGGCATGACATAGTCGGAGCCGTCCAGCCGCCCGCTGCTGTAGGCCACTGCCAGGTGATGGTGCTCCTTGCCTTTTTGCCAATGCCGATAGCCAATGAACAGTGCCACCAGGGCTACCACAAGGGATCCCAGCACTGCAATGCCAATCACTGCACCCAGCGAGTTATAGGCCACTGGAGTGGTAGGCATCACAGTAAAGAGCTCCTGGATTCCTGTGTGGGATGGGGCGGTCACTCAGAATGGCATCTTGGCTCCGCTGCATGGGAGAGGTGCCCAAGAGGAAGGCAGGGACCGTATGAGGGACCTAGGTCCCAGTTCCCGGGAGTCAATGGGTAGAAAGGAGGAGGCAAAGAACTCACCAATCCTGCAAGGCGCACCACTGTGCCCGGGGGGACATACACAGGCCCCAGTCTCTGGGTGGCACTTTTCCCCAGGACCACACTGGCATGGCTGGGAGCAGTTAGCACCAAATGTCCACAGAGGGCAACCTGGGGAGACAGCCAAGGAGGCTGGCAGGCATCAGGGGGCCAGGAAACTAGTCTCCTTTCTGGGCGAGGGCTAAGTTGGGGCAGGGTCACGGAGTTCCCCTTCTGTTGGTACCTTGCAAGCAGTGGGGTCCAGTCCAGCCTGGGGGGCAGATACAGCTCCCATCCTGGGGATGGCAGGTCCCACCATGCTGACATTGGCAGGGCTGGGCACAGTTTTCTCCCCAGTGTCCTGCAGGGCATGCTACAGGAGACAAGGGGCCTGTCTGGTGGGGCGGGTACAGCCCCTCCCGGATGAACTCTCAGCCACCAGCATCACTTAAGTCTTTAGCTCAGCTTTGGTCTCCCTGGGGACACCAAAGCTTTGAACAGTATCTGCAACCAATGACTCGCAAATGATTATTTCCAGCCCCATCTCTCCCCCGAGCTCCAGACCCACGTGCCCACCTCCCTACCCCACATCTGCACTTGACTATGTAATAGCCACTTCAAACGAATGCATTCAGTGCCACACAACCAAAGGCTTCCAAGCCACCCCACATGGATTTTTATTTGGTTTTTAACATAAGAGAGAAGTAAACATCTATGCTATGTAAGGCATTATTGTGTGTCTGACACTAGCAATAATCTAACAGTAGTTGTAGCCAGATTCTATGGAAAAACTCTTCGCCAAGATGACTTCCTTTTCTACCCTGCCTGCTGGTAAACTAAAATTTAGCCTTCTTTGTAACAGTCTGTTCCTCTTTCCAAACCCATTTTACTTGGCTCTTTTGCACGAATCTTTTCCATGATCTTCATATACTTTTGTGGGGGAAAGGCTCACAAAATAAAGAAATACATGTATTTATTAGTATATAAATAAAAATAAACTGAAAAATGCAAAAGAAAAAAGGGCCGGGCATAATGGCTCAGGCATGTAAGCCCAGCACTCTGGGAGGCCAAGGCAGGTGGATGACCTAAGGTTAGGAGTTTGAGACCAGCCTGGCCAACAAGATGAAACACTGTCTCTACTAAAACTACAAAAATTAGCCTGGTGTGGTGGTGCATGCCTGTAATCCCAGCTACTAGGGAGGCTGAGGCAGTTCAATTACTTGAACCAGAGGCGGAGGTTGCAGTGGGCTGAGACTCTAGCCTGGGTGACTGCACTCTAGCTTGGGTGATAGAATGAGATTCGGTCTCAAAAAAAAAAGCAAGCAAGCAGGAACGAGTCCCAAGCTAAGCCTATGATTTCCCCTGCTCCCATAAAAATACTGTTCTTCCCAGGCTTCCCATGCAGAAGGGCAGTAAATTGTTTTTTTCCCCTGAGCTGTTCACTGTTGCATCCTTAGCACTGAAAACAGCACCCAGCAGGTAGGCAGTGCCCAGTAAATATTTGCTCAAGGTGGGCCCAAGGATTTTATACCCAGGAACTGTGAGGCAGAGGCCTCCCGACCCCAGCGCCCCCTCAGCATACACACGAGCTCAGACATACAAGCTACCACATACGCTGGGAGCAGTCAGGGCCTGTCCAGCCAGCCAGGCAGTAGCACGTCCCGTTGGAGGGGTGGCAGGAGGAGTGGTTCCCACACTTGCAGGGCACACAGCGTTTGCCATAGCGGCCAGGCTGACAGGCTGGGAGAAAGGGGCACTGGTGACTGGGGGCAGGGGCCAACCTTCAATCTGCCCTTACCCCAGTGTCTCTCTCCCTCCTTCCCACTGCAGTAACTAGCCCGAAGACGGGTCAGAGAGAACCAAGGGGGATGGAGAGGGGAGCGCTCTGGCATCTGACACCACACTGCCCCCTGCTGGTGGCAGGTGGAGGGGGCAGTAGGGAGCCTCACATCTCTGGCAAGAGGGGCCTCGGAATCCGGGTGCACACACACAGTTGCCATTCTCAGGGAGGCAAGTGCCCCCATTCTTGCAGGTGCAGGTGTTGCTACAGTTGACTCCCCATAAGCCCTCAGGGCAGGACAGGTGGCAGCGGGTGCCTGTGGGAAAGACAGCAGTCAGGTGTGCCAGGATGGGCCCCCTTCAGTTCCAGGGGGTTCTTCTGGACACATTTCCTATGGGGTGCATCCCTCAATCCACAGTAGGCCTGGGGCCCCAGAATGCTCACCCATCCAGCCAGCCTCACACTGACAGCGTCCATAAACCGGGTCACAGCCATCAGAGTGGTCACAGTCACAGCGTCTGGCACAACCTTTGCCAAATTGCCCCTTCTTGGAAAAGGAGTGGAGAGCAAATAGGCCAGTCAGCTGGGGGACACCGCACCCTCCCTCCCCCAGGCAGACAGGCTGTGCAGTACTCACCGGGCAGGGCAGCTGGCAGCGGGCCCCATGCCACCCAGGGGTGCAGGTACAGGCTCCAGTTTGGGGGCTGCAGACTCCCTCATGAGCACACTGGCAGCTGGCATTGCAACCGAAGCCCCAGGTTCCAGATGGGCAGGGCACAGAGCAGTTACCACGCTGCCAACCTGGAGGAGGGGCCTGGTAGGTAGGCATGGGGACCCAGCTCCCCTCCTGAGCAAGCACACAGTGGGAGCTGGCTGGGACAGATCCTATTATGCTATGAGGTGTGGTGGCTGGGGGCATTCACAGCACCATACAGGAGAAAAGCCTATGAACTATTCAATGCTGAGCAGAAGGCTAACTGCCTTCCAGTGAGGTACCACCCCATTCTGGGTCTGGGGTGCCTTCTGCAAAATAAAGGGGATGGCAGTAAACCCAAATGCTTACAGGGGTCCCATCAGGTAGCTAAATGAGTTCTACAGAGGATGTACCAGACAACAGGGAGTAGTGGGGACCGAAGGTGGGAGACTTGTTGAACTTAATAGAGAGCTCGCCAAACAGAACACAGCTGTATCAGAATCCAGCCTAAAGGTTGCCCACGTGCCACTCTGGCAGATCTGAGACCCTTCCCAGTGCCGCCATTGTGTTTCTCTATGACTGAGGGTGAGGGATGTTCACCAGGGAGGTGTCTTTTGGCCCCAGCCTTCAAGGACAAATAAGATATTTGTGGTTGAGGAAAGCAAAGTGGATATTCCAGGAAGGAAATCGCCTGGACGCTTTCCCTCCGTCCAGCTGCTGCCCCCTCCACCCTTACCCTGCAGCCACTCCCCTGCCCTTGGCCTGCCCATACTCTTGGACTCTCCCTTCTTCCCTTGCCTGTCCCCCAGTCCCTCAAGTCCTCTCTGGGAAACTCCATCCAGTTACCTTCCTTGCAGACGCACTCGCCGTCGATGGGTGAGCAAGCGATGGCATTTTCACAGGAGCAGCGTGAGGAACAGTTGACACCGTAAGTGTCCGGAGGACAAAGACTAGCACAGTGAGGGCCCTGAAAAAGGGTGAGCAGTGAGAGGGGCGGCCCATTCCTTGGCCTCTCCGCCGGCCTCTCTTCCTCGCAGCGGGGCGCGCCTCACCGTGTAGCCTGGCGCACACTGGCAGAGGCCGCTGGCAGCCTGGCAGACGCCGCCGTGCAGGCAGAGACAGTGCTCCTGGCACCCCGGTCCGTGTGTGTCCTGTGGGCAGCTCTCATTGCAGTGGAGGCCCGCCCAGCCCGGCAGGCAGGAGCACTCCCCGTTCATCGGGTGGCAGCTGGAGGCAGAGGCGGGGGCGCGGCGCGGTCTGAGCTGGGCCAGGGCAGACCGGCTTCCCCGACCCCTCCGCGTAGTGGTATTCGCACATTGCTGGGGCAAGGGGGCCCCTAGGGAGGCTCCGCGCTATTCCGAAAACGGAATTGAGGCAAGTAGTGGTACCCCGAGGCCCCTCCCTTTCCCCTTCTGTGACACCTGTCCCCCTTGGTTATGCCCCTGGCGCTGTGGCGACCTCGGCCCGAAGACCTCCCCATTGGCCTCCTGATCCATTGACCGCGTGTCCCGCGGCCCACCTGAGGCTGTGCTCCGGGTCGCAGGTGCAGGAGGCCTGGCAGCTGAGACCGTAGAAGCCGTCGGGGCAGAGGCGCTCGGTGCAGCGGTCCCCGGTGAAGCCGTGTTCGCACAGACACGCGCCGTTGGCGGGGAAGCAGCGGGCGTCCGGGCCGCAGTCGCACGTCTCAGCACAGTCCCGCCCGAAGCGCCCCACCGGGCACTCCTCCCGGCACCTGGGCACCCAGCCGAGTGAGCCTGGCGGCACCCCACCTCCTTCCGCCCGCCTCCTGCCTTCGCCATGCCACTCACCTATCCCCAGTGTAACCCGGAGCGCAGCGGCACTGCCCGGTGAATCGGTCGCAGAGGCCGCCGTTGTGACAGCGGCATTTCTGGGAGCAATTGGGTCCGTGAAAGCCCTCTGGGCAGGGCAGGGAGCAGATGGTACCCTGTGGGGATGAGAGGTCAACAGGGCCAGGCACCCAGCCTCCTCCCCAAGGCCACAGGACCCCTGACAGCCCCATACCCACAGAGCTCACCCCTCACTCACACCCTCCTTGGAGCCCTACTTAGCATCACCCACAGAATACACCCCACACCCCATGCCCACAGGCCCCACCCTCCATACCATCCAGCCAGGGGGGCAGCTGCAGGAGCCCTTCGGGGCCTGGAAGACACCTCCATTTTGGCAAGGATGGGTGCTGGGGCAGGAGAAGCCAGCAGTGCCCTGGGGGCAGGACACGTCACAGCTGCAGGACAGAGCAGGTGAGGTCAGCCTGCGAACAAGCAATATCCGCTTCCCCTCTTGCCTCCGAGGGCTGTCCCCCCGACCCCCACCTCAGGACTTAGTGATTCACACTTCCTCTTCCCTGCTGGGGACTATCAGTCAGAAAGCAAAGGGTTCCAGGACTGGAAATGGCAGGGACACCCTAGCACAGCAGGTGGAGGTAAGCAAGAGCCAGAGTGGCATGGCCTGTGTGCCTCCTGGGCGCCCGCCTCCTCACCTGCTCTCGAGAACACCTGTGCCACTCCACGAGGGCCGCCGCGAGGCCCCATCCTGATTTCCACCCAGGTGCACCTGCTCCCTCCTGGGACTCTCCAGCTCCCCCTACACCCTGCCTTGCGACAGCGTTCTCTGGGTCCTTGTCCCAGCCTCCCTTTACAGCATGCCTCCACACGTGCTGCTTGATGTTATCTTCACAGCCACCTTCCATGTAGACAATACTCTTCCCGTTTTACAGACAGCAAACAAGCTCACGAAGCGTCAATGACTTGCTCATTCCACTAGTGAGGTGGGATAGGATCCCCTGGGACCGCGATCCTGGCCTCCACACCCTCCCCACTCTTGGGGCCCTGTCTGAGCCACCTCATTTCCCCGTGTATGTGTGTGTGCCCCTGTGTCTGCGACCTCGTTAATGTGTCATTCCCCCTGTTACACACCTGGGCCCAGTTCTCTCTGCGGGGCAGAAGCAGGCTCCAGTCTGGGGATCGCAGGGTGCCCCATGGCACTGGCAGCGGAACTGGCAGGCAGGGCCATAGTACCCGGGGGTACAGGGCTGAAGGCAGTTTGGGGGCTGCAGACCAGAAAGGCAAGCACACACCCCACTCTTGGGGTCACAGGGGCTGCTGCCGCAGGTGCAGGGCTTGTCACACTGTGGCCCCCACATTCCTGGGGCACACTCTATGGGATAAGGAGGCAGAAAGGGGGTCACCAGGGGTCTAGCCCATCCCCGGCCTCTAGTTAGCCCCCACCTCTGTCTCCCAGCCCCCACACCCCACTGTGTCTTCCATATCTCCAGAAAAGGCAGCTGGCAACAAGGGGCTCTCAAAGATAATTGCCCTGGAGTCCTAAGCTCCTGTGCCCTGGTAGGGATGGTGTGCCTGAGGGTCCTGTGGCCCTGAAGGCACAAGAGGCCACTCCCCGGGGTCAGTAGCCACTCACCACTTGAACAGTCGTCACCCCGCCAGCCTGGTACACATTGGCACTGATTGGGTGCCACACAACGGCCATGGACACACTCCTGGGCACAGAGCGCTGGGACAGAGATGGGTATCAGTGAGAAGATGTGTCCACCCCTGTCCCTACCCAGCTTTTATCTTGCAAAGCCTAACCCCACCTTCTTCCAACACCAGGGACCAGAAGTTCTCCAAGCCCCAAAGCTGCCTCTAAGATAAAGAAAGACTGGGGCCGGGCGTGGTAGCTCAAGCCTGTAATCCCAGCACTTTGGGAGGCCGAGGCGGGCGGATCACAAGGTCAAGAGATGGAGACCATCCTGGTCAACATGGTGAAACCCCGTCCCTACTAAAAATGCAAAAAAATTAGCTGGGCATGGTGGCGCGTGCCTGTAATCCCAGCTACTCAGGAGGCTGAGGCAGGAGAATTGCCTGAACCCAGGAGGCAGAGGTTGCGGTGAGCCGAGATCGCGCCATTGCACTCCAGCCTGGGTAACAAGAGCGAAACTCCGTCTCAAAAAAAAAAAAAAAAAAAAAAAAAAGACTGAGGGGCAGCAACTCAGTGGGGAACTTAGCAAGATGCCAGGGTCTGTGGGTTCCGGTTCCTTTTTGTGAATTTGTCTGAGCCCTTGTTGGGAAAAGGCTTTGGGGGAGATCCGCAGAAGGGGGCTGGACATGGACGCTGCCCAGAGAGAGGGCGGGTGAGGGCCAGGATGGGTCAGGCTGGAGAGCTGTGTTCCCAGGGCCTAGTGATGGGCAGTGGTTGAGGGAAGTGGGAGGAGGAGGAAGGCAGGCTCCGGTCATTACAGGGTGCTGGGAGGGGGTGCAGTGGGCAGGAGAGGCTGGATGGTGACAAGTCAGAGACCAATAGCAATAGAGAGTCAGGGACAGGAAGAGACAGAGGCAGACCCAGACACCAAGTCCTCAGACACACAGTGACAGAGAGACAGAGACAGACCAGAGACAGAAGGAGAGCTGTAGGGCAGAGACAAGGCTGAGGGGCCTGCAGAGGGGGAGCGGACACCCGGGTGGCTGGAGAGAGGGGTGTGAAGTGCTGATGGAGAGGGAAGTGCTGATCCTGATCGTGGGGACAAGGCCAAGGAGCGAGGAGGAAGGGGAGAAAATCCAAAAGGGCAGAGGAGTAACCCCACCTTCATGGGGGCCAGGAGGGACTCAGAAGAGTGGGCTAAGCTCCCCACCATTCCACTGCCCCACCCCCCAGCCCCATAGTGGACTCACGGACACAGAAGCCACTGCTCTCGTAGAATCCGTGACAGCACTGTAGGCGCTGGCGGTGATCCGTTTTCACCACCTGGCGGTACACGGTCCGGTACACAACCCTAAGGAGACCAGGAAGGCGGCCCTCAGCGCTCCGGCTGTCTGCCCTCGAGGGGTGGTGCGGAGAGTGGCACCACCTAACCACTCTGGGCTCGGGGAGCATAGAAAGCGCATTTCCTGGCTGGGCGCGGTGGCTCATGCCTGCAATCCCAGCACTTTGCGGGGCCGAGGCAGGTAGATCACCAGATCAGGAGTTTGAGACCAGCCTGGCCAAGATGGTGAAACCCTGTCTCACTAAAAATACAAAAAGTAGCCACGGGCGGTGGCAGGTGCCTGTGATCCCAGCTCCTTGGGAGGCTGAGGCAGGAGAATTGCTCGAACAGGGGAGGTGGAGGTTTCGGTGAGTCGAGATCGTGCCACTGCAGTCTAGCCTGGGCGACAGAGCAAGACTCTGCCTTTAAAAAAAAGAAAGAAAAGGCATTCCCTGTTTGAGGTTGCAGTGAGCTACCATCTCGCCACTGCACTCCAACCTGGGTAACAGAGTGAGACCCTGTCTACTAAAAAAAGAAAAAGCATTTCCTTCTTACGCCCCTCACACAGGCACATACTGTAACATGCATGCGCACCCTAAACACACACACACACACACACACACACACACACACACACGAACCCCACACAGTCCACGCGGAATGAGTCCTGAGAAGCCAGGAGTTCCTCAGAGTTTCTGAGAAGCGAACAGGGACAGAGGGCCAGGGACCAGGCCGAGGCAGCAACTCAGGCAGCCCACCCACCCATGGAGGATGATGAGCACTCACGTGGGCTGGGGGCAAGTATGGGCGCCCTCCCAGGGGCGCTCGCAGGGCTCCGAGGGGAGCAGACTGAAGGGGCGGGAGTGGGACTCCTTGGTGGTGGTGGTGAAGCTGCAAGACAGGGAACAGGGTGAGGGCGGAGGGCAGGGAGAGGCCTGAGCCACACAGCGGGAAACGGCCACAGTGGGGAATCCACAGCCCAACAATGGGGCTGGCTCCCCAACAGGACCCCCATCCTGTCCCCCTCTCTCAAGTCTGGAGTGCTTCTCCCAGAGTTGGAAGCTTCCTGGGATTCCCTCCATCAGAGCCCCCTTCCCACTCGATTGGACCAGGGACTTCCATTTTTCTCTCCCCACACTACCCACCCTGCATGAGAAAGGTAGGTAAGTGAGAACCGAATCTGGGCACAGCTGGCGGAGGTGGGCTGGGGCATTTCCGGCTATATTCTGCCCTGGGTCTTTTGTCCCTGCCCTGCTCCCTTTGCTCCCCCTGGGCCAGCCCCTCTGCTTGCTCCACCATGAATGGCTCCCACTCTGCGCTCTGTTCCGAAGCTGGCCTCCCAAAAGGGCTAAGGGATGGGGACAGAGAAAGGATGGGTCAGAGACAGGACAGAGACTGAGACAATGTCAGAGACGGTGCTGCCGTCAGCGGCAACCCATAAAGAGGAGTAGAGAGCAGAAACAGAGAAACAGGCGGGAGGGGAGAGGCTGGAGAAAAGGAAGGAGGTGAAGGAGGGGACACCCATGGGGACAGTAGGGACAACCAGGAGCTAGGGCTTGGTGCCCTCAAGGCGCAGCAGGGGCCCTCTCACCTTTCCCAGAAGCTGCAGGTGTTGGGATCACTGGGGTTGAGAGTTCCAGCCAGCCTCAGGCCCAGGGCCAGGAGAAGGAGAGGGCGCAGAGGCAGTGACATTGCAGAGGCCTGCCCCAGGGCCGGCACAGAGCGGGCAGGGGCGCTGCAGCGGGTAGCCTGGAGGACCTGTCTGCAGAGATCTGAGCCGTGGGCCTGCAGAAGAGACCAGACTGCAGCCCCGTGTCCTGTGGCCCCCTTGCCCTGGGCTCCAGCTGTCCACCTCACTCCTGGAGCGCAGTCACTTCCATGCCTCCGGTCTTTGCTCCTGAATTACTTCGACACCCTCACATTTCATTCAGCTAGAGTTCTCATCGTTCAAGGTCTAAACCAGGTGCCACCCCTTCTCTCCTCTCCTTCCTGACCCTCAGTGGCAGACAACCCCACTGATTGCTGCTGGGGGTCCCAGAACCATTCACCCCACCCCACTGTTCCAGTGCCTGCTCCCTGGCCATGACCTCCAGAGGCAGGGACCCAGTGCCTTTCACCTCGGAATCCCCAGCCCCCAGCCCAGGCCCTTCCCAGGGCACTCTGATATTTGTACCAAGGTGTGAGACCGGAAGCAGTGAGGGGAAGTGATGGGGGGTGCAGCCCTGGGCTCAGTCAGAGGAAGAACTTTCCAAGTCGGAGCAGCTCAGGAGCGGAGTTGGCTGCCTCAGGTGGTGAGCTCCCCATCACTGGATGTATGCAGGCAGAAGCCAAAACCAGCCTGATGCAATACTGTCAGGGGTTTCCTGTTCTATGTGGGGGGAATGGGACTGGGTCCAGGTGACCTCCCAACCAGTGGTGTGCTGGAGGCAGTTCACTCGGGCATCTCCTCCTAGCAACCTGTTCAATGATGTCACGTAAGTAGCTTGGAATCAGGCATGGGGGGTTATTGACACCAGAGAAACTAGCAAACACTACAACCCAAGGCCAGCCCCCCTCCCGCAGTCAGTAGTGACACCTTAGCCAGCACACTACACCCAGCTCTAGGGGCCATCACCAGCCTGGTGACCTTGCATTTAAGGAAAAGCTCCCGCCTCCCTCACACCCTGTAGGCCATTTGGAAATGGGGTCCTCTCCATCCACCACCCCGGCTCCCAGGACTTCATAGAACTCTGCTCCCGCAGCTCCTGAGCTCAGGAGAGGCTGAGCTCCCGCAGCGCCCGCCCCCGCGGCCGGCTTCAGCTTCTATGTTCCGTGTTCCCAAAACTCGCTCTGGCTCCCTGCTCTACACTCCCCGAGGCGCCCACATCTGCTTATAATTTTTCTGAGAAGAGAGAAAGGTCGTGGTTGCTGGCCCCTTACCCCCCTGAGTATCTCTGGAATGCTGGCCCCACCCCACACCCCACACCCACACACTCCCAGGGCTCCCACAGCCCCTCTCAGCCCCATGGAAGGCAGCCCCTCCTTCCCTCCAGGTCTAGGCTGCTAACTTAACCCCATCTCAACGCCAGGCTCCTCCTCCGTCTTTAACCTGCCAGCAGCCTTTCATCCAGGATGCTGGTGGCCCGCCCCTCCTCCCAGTGCCGGCCAGCCCTCCAGTGCTGCCCCGCCACCACACCCCATCGCACCCCTCCGCTGAATCGCAGCCTCTAGCCTCCTCTGTGCTCCCTCCCAGCCATCCTCAGTCCCCAAGTAACTCACCAGGTGGGACCTGCCCACAGCTCAGCCCTGGGGCCTGGGGGCCAGGGAATGTCCTGGGGGGATCCCAGCGTTCGGGATATGAAGGCTGAAAACAGGAAACAGAGCCTGGCTAGGATGACGGACAGCGGGCAGCACAGGGGGTGGCTCCGTCCTCCCACCATCCTGAACGCAGTAGTAGCGCAGGAAAGGGCCGTGCCCAGAAGCCTCTTTCTGTCTGCCTGTCTCCAGAGCGGACACTGTGGCCCCCTCTGCAGGGGAGAGGCCAGGGTCAGGAGTGCCCTAGAGACACTCCCCAGAGTGTCCCGGTGCTCCACTCACGTCACCCATACACGCCCCCACTCCTGGAGTCATCCCTTCTCCCAGCCCCTCCCACCCTGCCCTGCTCCAGCCATCTTCCCAGGTCCGGTGCCCACTCCAGGGCTCGCTCTGCCTGGCCCCAGCGAACCTCCTCCCCACCTCTCCCTCCACATGGTTGGCAGCCAAGGCCGTGGGCAGGACCCTGAGCCCTCCCTCCATCCATCTCTGCCTCGTCTCTGTCCACACTCCCCTCTTCCCGGACCCTCAGCTCTGGCCCTGGCCTGGGGCCCCTGTGCTCGGACTGGACCGCAGCTCAGTCCGTCTGAAGCCAGGCTCATCACCCTTGTGTCTGGGTGAGCCTCATCTCCTGAGCCACACAGGGACTCCCCAGGCATCCGCCTGCCTGGGACCTGTTCCCAGAGCTGACGGCGGGGTGGCACGGATGACCCCTGCTGCAGGAAGGACTCGGGTTAAGGCCCAAGGAGGTGCCGTGTAGCTTGAGCAGTTGTGGGGACTGGAAAAGGTCCTTCCCCCATTCCTGTCACCCCAACCACCCAGGTGCTGTCCCTGTCACCTCCTCCCAGACAACTTCTAGGGGACACGGTTCACCTGGGGGGCTTCGAGATGGACTGGAGGAGGAGGAGGAGCAGGAGGAGGGGCTGGCTCTAATCCGCTCCCCCTCTGGCTGGCTGGGAGCTTAGCTGGCTAGATTCTGTTTTCCCAAAGGTCCCCGGGGTAGGGCCGGAGTGTGGAGGAGGCATCAGCTGGTCAGCCCAGGGGCTGGAAGCCAGGGTGGGGTCAGGGGAGACCAATGGGTGGCCCAGGGAGGGGACAGATCAGGTGGGCGTCCTGGCTGGAAGAGGAAGGGTTTGGCCTGACCATTCTTTGCCCCTGAGAAGGGAACACAGGCCAGACCAGGAACCCAGAGCCTCCAGGCTTGTTCCCATCTGAGCCTTTGTCCCTGAGAGGCTGGGGTACCTGAGCCGGCCCATGCTCCCCAAACCCCTTCCAGCCGCAGCAGCACTGTGCCCCACCACTGCACATACCCCTCAAGCGGGTGAAATCAGACCGCTCCTGGGCCCCTGATCTGCCCTGGGGACCCACAGTGCACTCACTTCGGGGGGACCCTGGAGCACCTCCCCAGCAGGCTTGCTTCTTCTCATACAGAGCTCCCTCCTGTTCCCCTGCTCAACCTTCACCCTCTAAGTCTCTGGTTCAAGGACTCAAACACCTTCCCTGCCAAGAATCATAATGTGACCGCACGTATCATTCACTGAGCTGAAACAGGCAGGGTGCTGAGAAACGTACATGTATCATCACATTCAAAGTTTACATTCACCCCTTGTGGTAGGTGTTATGGTCCACTTCAGAGATGAGGAAGCAGGCACAGAGAGGGTAAGAACCCTTCCCAGGACCACACAGCCAGGAGCATCAGAGCTGGGATCCAAATCCAGGCTGCTGGCAGAAGCCTCCCCATAATTCCATTCTTTCCCGAGCCCAGATGGGAAGCCCAGGGGCTCCACATCTTCCTTTTAAAAGCCTCCTTATGGGGGTGGGGGAGCTGGCAGGGGGTTGGACAGGAGAAGGGGACGGGGGTGTGGGCTGCCACAAAAACATGATCAGAAGCGTGGGAACCAAGATGTGTTTACAGTCAAAAATGAGCTGACACTTCTCTCTCTTCCACCTCGAGACGTGAACCGGCTGGGCTTCTGGCCAGGCCCTGAGATCCCAGCCCTCTCTGCCTCCAAGCCCACACAGAAGACCAGATCACCCTCCCTGGGCTTCCCCAAACGCCAGCTCAGCTGGTTCCCTCTGGTAGGGAGCCCCCTACCCTCGCTGTGCCCCAGCCCCTCCTAGGAGGAAGGAATTGAGTGTAGGCTCTGGGGGAGCAGGGGTGGGGGTGGGGTTCCTGGTGGACAAGAGGATCCATTTCTATAGAAAGCAGAGAGTAAGAGTGACGGAAGTGAGACAGCAGAAGGGACCTCCCCACGGCTCCTTCCAGCTTCTCTGGGAAGTCATGAAGCGTAGATAACCCCTGAGCTCTGCACCCCCAACCCCTGCCCAAGTTCAAGCCTGGGTGTGAATCCCAGCTTGCAGTTCCCTCACCTATAAAACGGGGATGAGATGGGTACCTCCTTTGTAGGGCGTCTGTGCAGACTAAAAGAGTTGATCCAGATAAAGCGGTTAGAGCCCGTGCCTATATGCTAAATTAACATTAGCTGTCTCCATGACAGTGTCCTCAGTCCCATTCCTCCTCCTGCACCCAACGTGGCCCTCCTTCCCCCTCCCCCTGACGCCTTTGGGTATTAATTCCAGGAAAAACTTTCTTGTTTTCTCTGAAGAACCCCCAGGATGATCCGGGAATGGGAATGGGGCCGCAAATGCTGACAGAGAGAAAGGAAGTGCGGGCGGGAGGGGGCCAGGCTCCCCCGAGAACCTGATCCCCCAAAACGATGGGCTGCCCGCCAGGTGCATCTTCAAGCCAGATGCGCTTGACAAGGCAGAATGCCTGAATTCTGCCTCCCCCAGCCCTGGGCCTGAGCACCAATGCTAGCTCCTAGCTCGGTTCCACTGTCCGCTCTTCTCCATCTCCCTCTTTCTCTCACCACTTCCCATCCTGAAGGACAAAGCTTCTAGTCCTATCTCTGTTCCTTGCAAGCTGTGTGAACTCAGTTATAATATATCACTCGAGTCCTCTGATCCTCCATCTCCTCATCTGTAAAATGGGAGAATATCACTCCCCGCCACCTCTCAGGGTTCTGCCAGGGTTGGTACTGCTGGTTCCAGTGACCATTCTGGAACAGAACCTCAGACCAGAACCTGCTTGGTGGATGCGTGTTGATGCAAAAACAGAATCCTCGAAGCTCCAGGGTTTCTGCCTCTTCCTTTTTGACGTTTGTCTTGTTCTTCGTCAGACATTTTGCTATCTGCCTTTCGGGCCTCCCTCATCAGCTTCTTGGTCTCTGTCTTCCTGCCTCTCTCCTTTCTATACTAAGGCTGACATGCACAGTTGCACAGTATATTCGCTGCACAGCAGCACCATTTTCGAGGGTAGAGTGGAAGCCGAACTCCAGCCACGATCCACCTACTAAAGCCATGCATCTTAGTAAAATCAGGTGCTACGGTCGTCTTGCCCTGTATCTCACTTGCCTGTCTGTCTGTCCTGTCTTTCTGTCTGTCTCCCTGTCTCTGGGTCTGTTTCTCTGTGGCCTTTTCTAATCTATCTTTGCCATGGAGATAGGATCACTTAGTCCTTCCCACCCAGCAGTGAGATCCCAGTCTCCCCTCCCTCCCCACACAGGGAGCTCTCCCAGCGGCCTGCTGCGCTCCGTGTGGGCTACCCAGAACACCCATGTACGCGCCTGCACACTGAGCACAGAGCACCGCCTAGATCCAGGCTGGCCGGGCCCTCGGCACGCCAGGCATGTCTGCCGGATGGAGGAACAGGAAGCGTGCGTGTGTGCGCCAGAGTGCGCCAGAGGCTGGGCGGGAAGGGGCAGGGGTGAGGGGCCGGACTTGTGTTCTCTGTGGCTCAGGAAACAGAGCTAGAGGGTCCTAGGTCTGACCTGTTTACTCATCAGGAAATGGGACGGCTGCAGGGATCCTGATTCACACATCTGTCGCGCACACACACCTCCCGGAGGCTGTCGCCAGGGCCAGTCCCAACCCTTGCCACCACCCTGGAAAGTGCTGGTGATTGTCATCCCCACTTCATGGGCGGCACGGTGGAGGGTCTCTGGTAAAATGCCTTGCCAAGCCCCGTCTGGCTGCAGAGGCAAGAGCAGGATTCGAATCTGCTTCAAAGGACAAAGCAGGGTGGGGAGGTAACCCCTGGGGTGACACAGGCTAGGGAGCAGCGCCCCCTCAGACCAGCCTGAGATTACCTTCAGACAGTGCTCTGGCCGCTGCCCCCTCTCCCACCCTCTAGCTCCCTACACCCTAGGAAGAACACCCAGGGGCCCGTCCCCCACAGTGGGCCCAGCCTCATTGCCTCTGCCCCGGTGCTCCCATCACATTGGACAGCCACTGACCCACATGCCTCTCACATACCACCAGCACCGCTCAGGCCACCCCTGAAACGCCCAGATCCTACCCAGCCCCCGAGACCAGCCTCTTCCAGGAAGCCCTCTGTGGCTCCAGCCGCACGCACTCCTCCCTGCTCTCCAGGCCTTCCTGCAGACTCTCTGCACAGTCACCATAGACCCTCACGGGCTCAGGGAGGCCAGGGTTGCTCTTCTCCTCCGAATGGCCTGAGGCCGGCTCCCAGCGGGACTTGCATCTGTCCCAGAGGCTCCACACCTCCCCAAACCCCAGCCAAAGTCCTGGCACCAGTGGACCTCTGGAGGCAAGCGGAACTCACCAGGCCAACCCAGGGCTTCACAGCATACCCCAAGTCTGCCGGACTGATCAGGCTGACAGATGCCGTATCTGTGATTGCTAGCCTGTGAGTCTGGTTTCCACACCGGGTTGGACTCTCTCAAATCTCATTCCTCTCCATGGCTCTGTGAGCGGGCCTGGGTGCCCCCTGGCTGTTTCCCACCCTATAAGTCATTATGTTTTTATTAAAGTCAGCCTGCCTCACCGGACTGGAGCTCCCCAGGGACAGGGTATGTCTCTGCCTTCCTCACCACTATAACCCCACCAGGACCCACACCCTGGGCGCTGGGCACCCAACAGACAGTAACTAAACGTTCGTGTGGAGCAGCTGGACTGATGCACCCTGAAGTCCTTTCTGACTCCAGTTAGCCTTGACTTTCCGGGAATGGGAGAGAGGGAGAGACGCTGAGAGGCCGTGGCTTCTCCCCATACCCTGCACAGCAGAAATGGGCCCTAGTCCCGGGGCCCTCAAAACCCAGTGAAGTGCGTGTTTGCTGAGATGATGGAAGGCGGAAGGCAGAAAGAACTTTTCTTTTTTTTTTTTTTTTGAGACGGAGTTTCGCTCTTGTTACCCAGGCTGGAGTGCAATGGCGCGATCTCGGCTCACCACAACCTCCGCCTCCTGGGTTCAGGCAATTCTCCTGCCTCAGCCTCCTCAGTAGCTGGGATTATAGGCACGCGCCACCATGCCCAGCTAATTTTTTGTATTTTTAGTAGAGACGGGGTTTCACCATGTTGACCAGGATGGTCTCGATCTCTCGACCTTGTGATCCACCCGCCTCGGCCTCCCAAAGTGCTGGGATTACAGGCTTGAGCCACCGCGCCCGGCCCAGAAAGAACTTTTCAATGTTACAAAGCAAAAGGCGCAGCTCCAGACTTGCCCTCCTGACCCCCAGCAGGAATTCCTCGGGGCCGGCCTCCAAGTTCCTATGGCATGAGTGCATGGAGCGCCAGGCTCTGAGTCACCTGGAGGTGTGGTGGCATGCCCGCGGCGCCTGAGCCCTCATCCGGTGCCTCCCCACCCAGGGGCAACACCCCCTCACTGTCCACTGCACACATCTCCCGTTACCCAGAGGGACTGGGCCCCAGGTGCCACTCCATGGGGCTAGGATGGAGGGCAAAAGTGGGAGGGCATGAGCACCCACCGGCAGTGAATGGGCCACGCCCCAGGACTCACCACGCGCTGTTTCTCCCAGGACGCTGGTCTTGCTGCACGTGGGTGCTGTAATACTAATTACCGCGCCTTGTTAAATGTGTGCTGTGGGCTGCTAGATCCTTTTGGTTCTCCCAGCATGCCTATAAAGTAAACGCTATTATGCCTCCCATTTTATGGATGAAGAAATATCCCAGAAAGGTTCAGTGATTTGTCCCAGGCCACACAGGTGACTGAAGCCAGAGCAGGGGTTTGAGCCGGCTGTATCTAACAGCAAAGCCTGTGCTGCTTTCTTTTCTTTTGTTTTGAGACAGAGCTTCGCTGTGTACCCAGGCTGGAACACAGTGGCCTGGTTACGGCTCACGGCAGCCTCAACCTCTGGGCTCAAGTGATCCTCCTACCTCAGCCTCCTGAGCAGTGGACCACAGGTGGGCACCAACACCCCTGGCTAATTAAAAAGACACTGTAGAGATGCAATCTCACTGTGTTGACCAGGCTGGTCTTGAACTCCTGGCCTTCAGATTTCCTCACACCTTGGCTTCCCAAAGTGCCAGGATTACAGGCGTGAGCCACCTCGCCTGGCATTTCCTGTGTGCCGCTTTCTAACCCCATGGTTTCTTCGGTCTTCTGGCTTTCGCCCTCTCCCTCTGTCTCCACCTCCTTTTGTTCTGTCTCTAGGTCTCTTCTGTTTTTCTAGGCCTGCTTTTCCTCCTCCGGGCGTTTCGCTGTAATGAGTCTGCTTCTGCGGTGTCTCTTCATCTGTCAGCCTGCTTCCATGTTTATGTCTGTCTCTATCTCTGTCTTTGTGTTTCTCTCTCTCTTTCCCTGTCTTTTCTGCCCCTTCCTTCTGGCTTCTCCCCTGCAGGTTAGGTGACAGGAGCCAACATCCTCCCTAGAGCTAGGATGGCCCCCTCAGCGTCCCCCATGAGTCCTGGGAGGCCTCTTTCTCAAGGCTGCCTAGGCTCCTCGGCGGAGAGGCTTGGGGAGCAGAGCGTGCTGGGTCCAGGGAGGCACACAGCGGCCCCACGACTTCTATCTCTCTCCAGGTTTCCGACTGGTGGATGGGGCTGCCTGGAGCGTGAGTTTCCTCCTCTGGGAGAGTCTGATAGGGGAGGTTGAGGGGGAACAGAGGGTGGAGAAACAGCTGCCAACCCTCAGCTTCACCCTCCAGTGGAGAGAGGAAGGCAGACAGGTGAGCCTGGCCAACCCAGCTCCTAGAGATGGCCCCACCTGCACTGGGGCACATGGTGGATGGATCTTCAGAGGCCTCAAGAGTGGGAAAGGCCACAGCAGGGAGGAGACAGAGGGAACAGGTGGGCTGCGCCCACACCCTGGCTCACGAGCACACACAACAGGTCCTATACCATGAACTGGGTTTGAGGGGGTTCAGAGACTAGCTCCCCCGTCTCCAACCATCCCCCTAGCACAAGGCCAGCTTAGGCCAGAGTTGAGAGCTGACACTCAGCCCAATGCTGCATGAGCTGAGGCCTGGCTGAGCCTGGGAATCTCAGGCCAGCACAAGCTGTTCCTGTCCCAGGGGACGAGGGTCACTGTCCAGCCCCGGGAGAGGCCACTCATAACAGGCCAGAAGAGGGGAGTGGAGAGCAGCTACGGGAGCTAGAGATGGGGGCAGGAGTGAAGGGTGGCCTTGCTGGGGCCTGGGCTCCTGGACCCCCGACACACCCACCTGGCCCTTAGCACAACCTCAGATCATCAGCCTGCCAAGCTTTCTGAGGATCCCGATGCCCAGGGATTCATGCCGGGACCTGAGGCCAAATCCCCAGTCCTGATAACTGGTAAAGATATGAGAGCCAGCGACCTGCAATCCCGGATCCCTCCCCTGCATCCTCCCTCACACATTCCTCCCCGGTGGGCAGGGAGGTGACACTGACGGTCAACACTGACGTCGGATAATAAGCACTGTCCTCAGCGTTTACTATCTGTGTATCCAGTGAACACAGGCGTCAAAGCAGGAGACATGCTTTTGCTCACTTCAGCCTCACCACTCATGAGGTAGGCCCTATATTATTCTCCTTTAGAAAATGAGAAACTGAGGCACAGAGGGCAGCTCTCTTGGCCAAGGCCGGGCAGACAGTAAGCTGCAGGGTGGAGGCTGGCACTTCAGCAGTCTTGGCTCCAGTGTGGGTGCTCTCGTGGCTACACTTCCCTTGAGCCAAGGACAGTACCCCAGTGCCGGCCAAGGACAGCACCCAGTCTTCTCTCCCCAGCCCTGGCTGCCGCCGACTCACACAGTCTGCGGACCAGGCGCTCAGGGAACAACCTCGCTAGTATTTCATCTCATTTACACGTTCATTACCGAAGGGAACCCCCAATCCATCCTCTCTGGCCCCCTCCACTGCCCCCGCCCCCTCCTTCACGTCTCTGTCCATCAGTCCCTCTTTTCTACACTCCTGGCTCTGGGGTCTCAGACTCCAGTCAAGGAGGGAGACCTCAGGCCCTATGCCCTTTCCCTGGGGCAGGGTGGTCTTCAGGGCCCTCCACTGCTGGGGGCGCGCAGTCAGGCGCAGTCACTCACCTGCCTTGGGGCCCCGTCTCTCCTGCGGCCTGGGGTGGGGGGCCGCCGGGGTCAGCGGGGAGGAGGGCTGGACGGTTGAGGACGGAGCGAGGGTCCCTGCGTCGAGCCCCAGCCTGACTGCGGGAGCGGCGTGGAGGCGGGACGCTGCTGATCACAGGGCGGAGAGGGGCGCGGAGCGGCGGGGGGGCAGGAAGGGGGTGGGAACTCGGGCGCTCGCCAAGGCAGGAAGTTTTGACAAGGAAACGGGAGCCGGGGGAGGGGAGATCCAGGCGCCCTGGAGGGAAAACTGTTCAGGGTGGGACCACCGAAACCGACTCTGAGCAGCCTGGGCCAGGAGCAGAGGGGGATGAGGAGGGGAGGTCAGCGCAGGGTCCCAGGGCCCGAGTACCCCCCTAGCTTCCCTTCGCTGTGCGGCCTGGGTTACCTAACCTCTGGTGCCTCGGCTTTCCTATCTGCAAAGTGGGGTTGTGGAGAGGAATCAAGATCACCGACGTCGGGCATTGTCCAGTGCTGCCCAGCAACCATCATCTTATTAAGACCCCGCCCGGGCACCGCATACCACTGGTCTCGGAGAGGTGGACAGGGCGAGGGCCCTCCTCTCCTCCTGCCGCCGTAATCACGCTGCGGAAGGCCGGGTGCGGTGGCTCACGCCTGTAATCCTAGCACTTTAGAAGGGCGAGGAGGGCGGATCGTTTGAGGTCAGGAGTCGGAGACCAGCCTGGCCAACATGGTGAAACCCCGTCTCTACTAAAAATACAAAAAATAGCTAGGTGTGGTGGCGGTGGCCTGTAGTCCCAGATACTGGGGGAGGCTGAGGCAGGAGAATCACTTGAATCCAGGAGGTGGAGGTTGCAATGAGCCGAGATCCGGCCACTGCACTCCAGCCTGGTGACAGAGCCAGACGCCGTGTGGGAAAAAAAAAAAAAAAAAAAAAAAAAGCTAGGTGTGGTGGCGCGCACCTGCAGTCTCAGCTATTGGGGAGGCTGAAGAGGGAGGATCACTTGAGACTAGGAGGAGGTCGAGGCTGCAGTGAGCCACATCGCGCCACTGCACTCCAGCCTGGGCGATGGAGCGAGATCCTGTCTTTAAAAAAAAAAAAAAAAAGTAACCCCGCGGGAGGGTGTGACCCTGGGCAGCCCGCCCCGCCCCGCCAGGCTCCCGCCCCGCTGCGCGGAAGCAGCTCCCGGGCCCACCGAGCCTGGTGCGAGCGCCACCTCGCGGCCAGCGCCCGCTTCCCAGAGCCCCGCAGCCCGTGGGCGGGACCCGGGCGCCGCCCCCCGCCGG